CTCCCTCTGTCACTGTGTCACCCCCTCCCTCTGTCACTAGTCACCCCTCCCTCCATCTGTCATTAGTCACCCCTTCCCTCCCTCTGTCACTAGTCACGCCTTCCCTCCCTCACTCTGTCACTAGTCACACCTTCCCTCCCTCACTCTGCCACTAGTCATGCCTTCCCTCCCTCTGTCACTAGTCACTTCCACCCCTCCCTTCCTCTATCACTATTCATCCCCCCTCACTGTGTCTGCCACCACTCATCCCCTCCCTCCCTCACTCTGCCACAAGGTACCCCCTCACTCTGCCACCTGTCACCACCTCCCACACTCTTCCACCTGTCACCCTCTCCCTCACACACTCTGTCACCTGTCACATTTGCATTCACACTGACTCTATAGACAAAAAAGCACATGTAGTCATCCAGACATGCACAAGTGCATTCACAGGGACTCAAATACAAACATGCATTGATACACAGGTCTTCACAATATACACATCCAAAGGAATGTTGTATTATATGAGTTATATTTAAAGGGACACTATAGTCACCCAGACCACTTCAGCTCAATGAAGTGGTCTGGGTGCCAGGTCCCTCAAGTTTTAACCCTTCAGATGTAAACATAGCAGTTTCACAGAAACTGCTATATTTACTTAGCAGGGTTAATCAAACCTCTAGTGGCTGTCTTCCTGACAGCCGCTAGAGGCGCATCTGTGACGCTTGATGCAAAATTCTCATCCAACGTGCAGAACGTCTATAGGAAATCATTGACAAATGCTTTCCTATTGACTGTTTGAATGCGCCCGCGGCACTAGCTGTGCATGCGCATTCTGCTCCATTTGGGAGCTGACGTCGGCGGGGGAGGAGAGGTTACCAGCGCCGAGGGAGCCTGGTGCTGGATAAAGGTAAACTGCTGAAGGGGTTTTAACCAGAATCAACTGAAACCGTAATAGAAAACCAGCATCCTGGTACACCAGGAAGAGGCCCCCACATGAGGGCGAAGCACCTGATACTGCCGAAAACATGTCACCGGGCAGACCACCGACCTTGGGATGCCCAGTAAAGTGGCTCATGCTCCATGCCCCAACACATCTGTTTTAGAACGGCGGATCAAAAAAGCGAACCGATGCCGCCTCGCAATAGACATCTTGGTACCAAACACCCGCTGGAACCCGCTCAGATGGGCTACCCAACTCCCCAATCTGCAGTGCCCCAAAAGAGGCATGAGGAAAGGCGAGCTGAAAGAGCACCACCTCGAAATCAGAAAAGTACACCACTGGCAGAACTGAAAACAGACCCAAAAGCAAGGCCCCAGACACTAGGGCCCCTCCTCCACCCTCTCATTTCCAACGCAACCATCATGTCCTTAGTGAAATCTAGAACCCTGGAAAATGTAAACCAGAAATTGGGCCTCGATAGTTTAGCCGAAACCAAAGCCTGTGAGCACTCCCGCCACTGCAAACATGAGAGGGCATCCGCTGTAAAATTTGTGACCCCAGGAATATGAATTGCCCTGCAAGCAACATTCAGCAACAAACAGCACAACACAAGTCGACGCAGCAGCCGAGGGGATTATACCGAACTAAGGCACTAGCCTGAGATCTTATATGTTTTGTCTACTCGAACAAAGATTGACTACACAGCCCTTTCGTGTAAAACTAAGACCTCCAGGAAATTGGCGAACCCCTGAATCGGTCTGGGTGATTTTTCAGTATGTTGCTCACCCAGATCGGGGCTATCAGGGGATATGTGATTTATGGGTGTATGATATTGTTTTGGGGTACATCC